GTGTTGTCCACGGAGGACGCTTGAATGATAGTTTATAGAATTGATGTTTTATTTTTGTTATAGTTTGATGTATCAAATTGAGTTGGAACTATGTTTTATAACTTGTTCACAGGGAATTGTTTATCTCGAATTTAGAAAATGATATTTGACAGGGGAAAATGAATAACGTTACCTAGAATAGTGTAAAAAGTTATGGGGCGTTACAATAGGGGTTGGTCGTCGATAGATTGTTAGGTATGTTGCCTTAAACTCGTAGTTTGTATTTTGTGTAAAATCAAATGTAAATTCAATAAAGTTTTATTCAATAAGTTTGTTGTTGAATTCATAGCATTGCATTGTCCAAAATCCAATAAACTAAACATCCGAGGTTATTTTAGTGTGACCGGGACAGTATATGTACTGAGTATATATTTGATATATTTGGTATATAACTGATCTACCCCTGATGTAGGAGGTATATGTTTGATATACCCCTGATATACAAGTGGATAATGTCCCGTGAATAACCTAAAGGATCTATAGTATATGGATTGTTGGGTTTTATGTCCTGAAACTCATAGTTTGAAAATGCAAGATATACTTTTATCTTTCAATAAAGTTGTTATTGAAGGTTTTAATCAATAAGTAGTTATTGATCCAATAAAAGTTTCTTACTAGATCTAAATCCAATAAAATAAAGGATCCTAGACTGTTACTTGAGACTCAAACTCTATGTAAGAGACATAAATATGGATCAAGTTTGAGTTAACAGTCTAAATGGTCTATCGTATAGGAATAAGGTTGGACGCCTTATTCTGGGGACACTATGGATGCGGCCCACTTTGTAGCTAGTACAAACGATGTGATCCTAATTCGTTCATGTGAAGACATGCGAGTGGGGGTGTCCCGTGCAAAGAGTTTGCATAAGACTGGACCATGAGATAGTCACTTTTACTTTATAACACCGTTTACTGTTTGAAACTGACTATCTCAACTTTGATGGCCTAGGTAACTCGATCTTAATCCTGAGCTAATTATGAACTTCTGTTTACTCGGGATTACCCTTAGATCTGCATGGGTGAGAGCAGCTCAACAGCGCTGGCTCAATAAGCCTCCCATTTCAGGGGTAAGGCCCGGTAGATAGCTAGGGACATAGGGTGCAAGAAGAAATTCACTTCTACACAATTTTAGGATAGTAAAAGGTTGTTCTCTTAAGGGCTGAATCCAAGTCTTGAACAATAGGCGCCACCCTCATCAAAAGGTTTGAGAGGATTTTTGATTTGATAGTTGGACTACAAATCATTGTTCATTAGAGGATTAGTGGGACTTAAGGAACAAGAGGTAATTACAGGGGTAAAGCGGTATTTTGACCTAGCTGTAATTACGAACAACTTGTGAATGGTCGACTTACCGATCATGGTTATATCAAATGGACATAATATATCTACAGTGAAGAGAGTGCAGCTACGGGCTTTAGTGGAGTGACCSBGTAGTTAACGAWTGTTGGTTAACTAGGTTAAARARTTTAACYGGTTAATCTCRGATCGTTGRAGCTCATRATCTGTAGGTCCATAAGGTCCCCTGGCTAGCTCATATAGGAATAAACTTGGAATAATTTGAAGGAATAATTCGAATCGTACGAATTAGGTTAATCATATAAGATATGATTAAGTAATTGATATATGATATCAATTTGAGAAATTTGGACAAAATATTTAAATAGGATTTAAATATTAAAATTATGAATGTGGATTCATAATCGGAGGTATGGATTTCATCAAACATCGGATTTTGGAAAAAGTCAAATAGTTGACTTTGACCAGAGAAAGTCAAAGGTTGACTAAAGTATATTAAAATAATGTTTTTAACCAAGTTGGTGGAAAATTCCACTAACTTGTTGAGTGGAACATTTAAATAATCTCAAAAATCSACTTTTTGACACTTAGCCATGCATGCATAAGTGGAATGTGTGTTGTAAGCTTTTGGTGAACTTAGACATACATTTTGACACTTAGCCATGCCATGCATAAGTGAAATATGTGTTGTAAGCTTTTGGTGAACTTTGACATGCAAGAGTTGCATGTAATTTGCTTATTTAAGAAGGTCTTTGTTCAAACATTAAAAGTCTTGAAACCTTTGGCTATTTGATTTTTTTTTTTAAAAAAAGCTTACATAACTCTTTTTAGCTCCACTTTTCTCTAAATTTTTCCTTTAAAAAGAGTCCCACCACTCTATTCCAAGCCTTGAGAATAGCTAGGAAGATCTCTTGGTGGTCCTTCATTGGAGTTATTTGAAGATTTTTGAAAAGCTACAAAGGTTTGTATTTTTCTCTACTTATAACTAAGCATCATAATGTATGATCATGCATGTTTAATCCTAGGTTGTATTATGCATCTAGATTGTTATTTCGATTCTTGCTCACTTCCGCTGCGCATGTATGTATATTATCCATCATGGATAAGGCTGGGTATCTTATCCTGGCAACACTATGGATACAACCCACTCTGTAAAGGTTATAGACGACTCGATCCAGGTCGTTCGTGTGGAAACATGCGAGTGGGGGTATCCTATACAATGAGTTTAAATAAGACCGGACCACGAAATATCCAATCTTTAGATGTAACACCGTTAACTAATAGATTGCTGTTTCTTAGGATGACCAGACAACTTATTCTCAATCCTGAGTGAGTTATGGATTCCTGCCCATGAGGGCTCGTCTTTTAATCTGTATGGGTGAGAGTGGCCCAAGTTGTCGACTCAATATTCCTACCATTTTGGGGATGAGACCGAGTGGGGACTTGGGAACATAACTTCATGAGATGGAATTAATTCCTCCCCGACTTTAGAGGAGTAGATGAGTGTTCTCTTAAATGCTGACTCCGGGACTTAACCCGAGAGGGACTTTCGGTTATTGGTCGGACCATAACCGAGTTGTTCATTAGAGGAGCAGTGATATTCAAGGAGAAAGATGTAACTTAGGGGTAAAACGATAATCTGACCCAACTTGTGTTATGAGCACTCGTGAAGGATTGACTTGTCATTAATGGTCGTATATCCATGGACACGAAAACGTTCTACAGTGAGAAGAGTGCAACTGCGGGTCTTTAGTGGAGTGACTCGTAGTTAACGAATGTTGATTAACTCAGTCAATGAGTTTGACCGATTAATCACGTATCGTTGAAGCTTCTGATCTGTAGGTCCATTTATTAAGTAGATTAATAATTAATTAATATTTATTAATTAATATGATTAATTAATTACTATATATATATTATTAATATTAATATTTAACTCCCCTGCAAAATTGTAGGGGAGTGGGCAGTTAAGTGACATGGGGTAACGCCCCACGTCACCGCTTTTGTTTGTTCTTCTTTTTGCAGTTCTGCAAAATGAGATAGAACACATAAC